ACAAGTTGGCAGAGAACACCACCAAAACTCTAAATTTTCAAATTCCGCGGTCTTCGAGATGATTTTTCCCACCGGAACTTTCACGGAACCGTAAGTGATACTCGGACACGCGGTAAGGCTGAATTAAAGTTACGGGATTGCATGTGGGTGTGGGACATTGTCGTAAAATTTCAGCTTTCTGGCTTTTATGGTTCCGGAGATAATGATTTACCCGCCGATATTTTCACAGGGCCGCAAGTGATACCCAGGAGCGTGAGAAGGCCGGATTTGAATTTGCGAGGTCGTACGTGAGCAGGGGGTCATTACTCTAAAACATCAACTTCCTGGATTTCATGGTTGCGAGACTGTAATTTACCCGCTAAAAGTTACACAGGGCCGTACGTGTTACTCGCGGGCACGAGAACAATTTAAGTTTCCTGGATCCTACGTGGGCAGGAGACATACCCATAAAATTTCAGCTCCCTAACTTCCGCGGTTCTCAAAATAATGATTTTCCCCGCCAAAACTTTCACGGGTTGTACGTATCACCCGCAGAAAACAGAAGGTTAAATTCCCTCTAAATTTAAGTTTCCTGGGTCGCACGTGGGCAGGAAATACATCCATAAATTTTCAGCTCCCTGACCTCCGAGATTCCCGAGCCGGTTTTACTCGCCAGAACTTTCACGGGGCCGTACGTGTTACCCGCGGGTGCCAGAAGGCTGAATTTAAATTTGCGGAGTCACACGCTGGCGGAGAACACTTTACCAAAATTTCAGCCGCCTAGCCTTTGTAGTTTCTGAGTTGAAAGTGCGAGACAAAATCTTGTACACACAAACACACGCACACCCACACACACAAACACACACACCCACACACACACACAAACCACACACACACACGCACACACACACACACACACAGAGACAACCCCATGACAATATGCGTTTTGCACTGCTGTCACACAGCACAAAACGCATAATAAGGGAAAAAGTAACTGCGTGAAAACCCCAAGCCCAATAAAATGCTGACCATCAGGCAAAATGATTTTAGTGACAAGCAGAGAAAAGCTGCAACCGACCGAAGGCAAAAACGTAACGATAGAAGCACAGGAGCTATTCAGGGCAAGAAAATGCTACTGTTTGACGACTCTGTAATTACAAAATAACCTGCGACGGTGATGATGTTTCAAAAGATCCGGTAGATGTGCTAGATCGTGGTGCCGCCGTATGCATCCAACCATCGTTAGAACACTGCTGCTGTTGTTGTTGTTGCTGCTGCTGCTGCTGCTGCTGCTGCTGCTGATGGTGGTGGTACTGCTGTCCAGATACTGGTGGAGATACGGTTGCTGCTACTGGATGAAGAATATGCTGCGAACGTGCTTGTGGCCCAGAAACTGCAATCTGTCCACACGTCGCCGTGTTCGTGGTACATGGAGCTGACTGTATTCGCAAAACACTTGGCACCACCAGTTTGGGCGCAGCTGTCGCAATTGTTCCCGGTTGCTTCTGAATTGTTGCAGGTACAACGTGCAGTGATTTCGGAACGCTGCCTGCTGGCAGTGCCACTGATGCCGTGCTAGTAAGCGTCGCATTTGTGGCCTGAAAACAGCACTATGAAATATCACAATGAAACAAGCTCCATTTTTCACACCTACTATTATAAATAGTAGCTTCTAAGACTCAGTCGACAAATTGTTGCTTAAAGAAATTAATTTGAACTCAATATGTTTAATGATATAAAATTTAAATGTTACACCTTCTACGATAATTTTTATATGCAAAATTTAAGCGTCTCAAAGATCTCGGCAAGTCAATAGGCATTGGTTAAAGCATTTACGGGATTAAAAAAGTTACCAGCTGTATAGGCAGGGGAAATTAGACTGTGAGTTAATAACCGCTTTGATATTCCTGCACTAGCTCCGGTATTAGTTCCTATAATTTTACAAGGCAATATACAAAAGTTGTTAAAAAAAAAATTCATTGCTACTACTTTACATAGAGCTTAAATATAATGGTAATTCGCAAGTACCACTGCTTTCGTGCTGGATGTCATGGGTTTGACTTCGTGAGATAGCCAAACCCCTACAATTCGTCTCGATGATAGACTGGTACTATCACATACCAGGAAGTCAAATCTTCCATCATTTTACTTATGGACGTTGTTTGGACCAGAGAGCTACTTCTAGTCTTGTCAAAGTGGTTGCTGTTGGAGCGCACTACCATCCGGGTTCTTTCAAAGCATCCTTCCTTCATACAAAGAGTGCTGAGGAGGGAGGGAGCCAGGTAGGGATAAAGGGGAGCTTTACTAAACGATGGGGAGAGTGGACAAGTGATCGAGCTGAGAAGTTGCACACCTTTTGCCTTAGCAATATAGGGATATCAACTTCAAAGGGGACAAAATTATTTTAAAAACATACATTATTGCCGCTCTAAATGGAAGCGTTATCACACGGTGACAGAAGCACAGCACTTCACAAAGACATATATTACCCTAATTTTGCACTTTCAATTTTCTTCGCTCTCCCCCAGCCCCTCCCCTTCCCCTCCTCTCCCATTCCGGTGCCCAAAAAAAGTACTATCTGTTGGGTGCAAAAACAGATTTTGATGGAAATTCTTCACCTCCAAACACAGATTAAAAACAATGCTGTGCACAAAACTTTCATCTCTGCTGGACTGTAACTGCTTCTGAAGCTATATCTTTGTTCAAGGTGATTCCTTCAAAATTACACTCTCCAAAGGGCGAAAGCATTCGCGGTAGCACGTGCCAACAACAACAACCATTTGTTGACAGAGCTCTTGACAGCTCTCTTTCTCCCTCTCTCGTTTATTGATTAGAAGAGAGCTGATAGTTTGTTTCGGGAGTGCTGCCATGTGTCACCAATTTTACCATCGAAATAATGATCGAATGAAGTGCGTAGAGACCGACCAAAAGAACTATTGACGATCTGGACGCCTGCTTGCCCTTTAGGTTTGTTGTATAAGATGATCCCCCTCCCTCCCCTCTTCTTCTGCCCTTCCCCTTCCTCTTTTCTTCCTCTTCCCCTCCCCCTTCCCCTCCTACCCCGTCCTCCGCACAGTGCCTGTGAGTAAGATCATGAATTCATCTTACATTTTGCAAAAAAATCACGTGCACCAGTGTTGTGAACAGAGGAATTAGGCCCGAATTTACCTTACAGTTGTTATTGTATCACCTTGCACAAGGGAGCACTAAAAAGACAATTTTCCACCTGCTTCTACTACACCTCAACAACTCAAAGACTAGTTCCCCGTCAGCGGATAATACTCTCTTGGTACAAAGCACCTACCCAACGACTAGTTTGTGTGTTTACATAAGAAGCAAGCTAAAGCACAACGCAATCCAATCCTCAGCAGTAAGCGTTATTTGTTTACATGGACAAGTGCTATAATCTAACAATCCCGAAAACGAATATCCATCGCCCGCTCCCCGCCCCATCCATCGGTCTACCAGCCATCCATCCTCTCGTTACCAGCTTATGCAAAAAGTGGTCAACAAACAACGGGGCTCGATTACTGGAAATATCGCGAGAACTGCTGCTGTTCTGTTTACTGTCGTGACATTGACAACCTGCTGTTAGCTGCTACAGCTACCATGTAATTAAAGAAACCACTCAATGAGTCCAAAGAACACCAGTTCATCATTAACGCAACCCGGTGAAAAAAAACCTCCCACTCTAATTAAAGCACAAATACGAAATCGTGCTCCTTCCAGACAGGGAGGCGTAAATCCCGATCAAGAGGAATTAGTTCTTTTTTTAAGGAAAATAAGCCGATTTGGCACAAAATTTACACAGAAAAGAAAAAAATTCAACTGTAATGGATGGGTATTGATTCCACCTGATAATTTAATACTATTTTGTTCCTGTTTTTTGAAAACTTATCGATATGCACATCAATTTTTCTAAAAATTAAAATACAAAATCTAAAACGCTAACTGAAAAAAAAAAAATCAGCAGCTACAGAAAAGTGAACGAACCGTTTGTCCGGAATTGTTATTGGTGGAACTGCTGGATGGTCGAATGAGGAAACCGATGGTGCAATACGATGGATTGTTACCATCACTGTTGGCACTGCGCAACACACACGGCACTGCTTCTAATCCCATCTTGATGTATAGTCGTTGTGTTCACTGCTCGTACGCAGTTAATAATTATTCCATTACAGAGCGATGACGCCTGCTGAAAAATACATGAATTAAATATGCAATTGTTAAGTGGTGATTTACTTCGCGTCGCGTAGCATTTCAATTCACAAAAAAAAAAAAGACTTGCCCCAAAGCAGTGCTATCAGCGGTGATCAAAACAGTGGAATCTTATCACCAATGGGAGGGGGTGAGGTGAACAAACTGCGACACAAAGCAAACATATGCCCATAAAACTCTTTTTTTTCACAAAGTGTTCCACATCATTTTTATCAGTGTTTTACGAGTCTGATAATGCTTGTTGGATGTTAAATCG